CCCCTCCCACCCTGTCGGCTCCCAGTTACAGCATTGCAGACATCTTACGTTTGGCTCCCGATAGCATACAATTTAAGAAATATTTTACTCCTAATACGTTTTAAATTATATAAATGACTTTAGTATCACGGGCTTGACTCTAACACGCATGCGCTTCTGCACACAGTGGCGTCCAGTGGAAACGTACACCCCGAGAGTGGGTACTCGTGAAATGTTTAGAGCTGTGCCCGGCACCGGGTAAGCACCGTGGCCGCGTTTGCTAACGAATTAAGTAAATGGCGAGCATGATCCAGAGAGGGAGGGCTTCGGGGTTGATTACAGACACACAGAATCCAAGTTCCCCTAAAAGGATCTGATGGAAAATCCCATCTGTTCAAGCGGGGCCAACCACCAGATTCGCAACACAAGGTTGTCCTTAAGGAGGGGACGATTCCTTATTAAATATTGGAAAATGTTCCCAGCCTCCCTCCAGGGAGAAGTCGTGGAAAAAAAATCAATTTCAAGAAAAATGCAGGCAAATGAAAGTAAAATTACAACATTTTGCAGAAATAATTCCAGTAAGTGGATTCCTTCCATTCGTTATTAATTATTTTCCCACTGGGTGCTTCGGCGTGGCTGGTGTCCATGCGGCTCCCGGCGTCCGTGTTCGTGAGGGCCCTGGACCGGCCGGGCAGTGTGGGGGAGGGGCGGGGCAGCGATGACACTCCGTCCTGGGCAGCATGGAGGAGCTGTCACAGCACCGGCACGTCCTGTGTCGTTTTTAGGGTACACTTAGAAATAGAAACTCTAACCTGGCTTTTGAAATTAACTTCTCGATGGTTAACAGGGTGAGTTTCTGTACGCGGCGCTGTGTCAGGGACATTTTGCATTTTGCAAGCCTGTGTCAGGGACATTTTGCATTTTGCAAGCCTGTGTCAGGGACATTTTGCAGCAGGGGACAGATCCACAGATGCTGTTGGCACCAGTAGACCCAGCTGGAGGCTCTGGAATTTTCTCTGGAGTCCAGAGGGCAGGGTGGCCGGGCGGAGTCAGTGCTGGAGCGGGAGTGTGCAGGACAGCAGGGCTCCAGCCCCAGGCAGGAATCAGGGCTGGGGGCTGAGGGGCTGCAGGCAGCTTCCTGGAGGTGACCTGGTAGGTAGGAGCAAGGCCCAGGTGGGGACCCAGGCCACAGGACAGAAGACAGAAAAGAGCCCAGTACCAAGGGACTCCGGAGAGTGGGCCCACTCGGGGAACTCAGTTTCCGTAAGTAAATAAGGGACGACCTGGCCACAGGAGGGGCTGGAGCCCGCACTGGCGGGAGTGGGGCCTGCAGCAGCCGCCCTGCCCTGGGGCCACGTGGGCAGAGGGCTGACCTGGCCCCCTCTGTGCTGAGGAGCTGTCAGGATGGGACTGCAGGGGAGTCCCCATGGCTGCGGCTGCGAGGAGAGCCCGAGGGGTCTTTGTGGTGACGAGGTTGTGCGCTCTCGTGGCGTGTGGCTGCGCTTCCCGGGTGTGCTCCCACTGGGTCTCTAAATAAGAGAAGCAGGACAGGGCATGGTGCATTAGCAGTGGACAGATGGACGGAGGCCGTTTCATGCATCAGACTGGCGTGGGTGTGAATCCCAGCGTTCCCACTGCCCAGCACTGTGGCCTGGACGTCAGTATCGACCCCTCTTGGACAAGGCTGAGAATAAGCACGTGCTTTGTGTAAGGATGCACGAGATAATGTCTGCAAAGGGCATCTGTGGTCACAAAGGATGGAGCCATGAGCATTAGCCCTGCTGACTGTTGGTGCGGCACAGCTAGCATGACCAGCACAGCCATCGGCTCCCGGAGTGTCCTGGCCCCACCTCAGCACTCCTTAAGCTCTTTTACTGTTTGAGTCACAAACTCCTTCTAAAACCTCTTGAAATCTCCATACAATCTTCCCCCTAAAATCCACTCCTACGTCTTGCAAGGAAAGTTGGAGTGTTCACAGACACCAGAGTTGAGAATTCCTACTTCCGAGGATGGCCCTCTTGTCTGCCATTGTGCCAGGTACAGGTGTCATCCTGCACGAGTGATTTGAAATCAGCATCTTCAAAGCTGACTCTGTGGTGCAGGCTGCATCCTGGGCATTGATAACCTGTGGAGCAGGACCGAGTCCCTGGCATGACCCTAGAAACGCCTCTGTTCACTTCCTGCAGCATTTTGGGGCAGCTTCTGAGCCAGCAGAGAACCCTGCTCCTGGGCCCCCTCCACGGTGTCTGCTGCCGATTTGTCCCACAGGTCGCCGTGCGGTACTGAATCCTATGGCGGGGTCTGCCCTACTCCCCTTCACCACCACTCTCTCATCCCTCTTCCAACCCATGCCTTCAGCAATGTTGGCAATCCACAGTTTCTCCTTCCCAGCTGATTTCCAGATGGTCATTCCATATGAGAAGTAGATTGATAATTGATGGATTAATGTGTATAGCTAAATTAAATTAATGTGATGGCTAATATTGTGTGTTGACTTGACTGGGCTAAGGGATGCCCAGTTAGCTGGTAAAACTATTTCTAGGAGTGTCTGTGATGGTGTTTTCGGGAGAGATGAGCATTGGAGTTGGTAGACTGAGTAAGGAGGACCCGCCCTCATCAGGGTGGGAGGGCATGATCCAATCCATTGAGGCCCTGGACAGAACAAAAGGTGGAGGAAGGGAGAATTTGCAGGTGCTGAGACAACCACCTTCTCCTGCTCTCGGACCTCAGCGCTCCAGGTGCTCAGGCCTGTGGCCTCAGACTGAGAGTTCTACCATCAGTTCCCCTGTCCTGAGGGCTCTGGACTTGGACTGAGCGATACTACTAGCTTTCCTGGTTCTCTAGCTTGTAGACAGAAGATCAGTCTCATAATTGCATAAGCCAATTTCTGTATTAACTTCTCTTATATCTACACATATCCTATCAGTTCTCTTTTTCTGGAGAAGTCTGACTAACACATGAGGAAGATTTTAAGAGTTGATTTGATATGATTTCTAGGCTCTATTTTTTTTTTTTTTTTTTTTGAGACAGAGTCTCACTTTTGTTGCCCTGGCTAGAGTGAGTGCCGTGGCGTCAGCCTAGTTCACAGCAACCTCAAACTCCTGGGCTCAAGCGATCCTCCTGCCTCAGCCTCCCAAGTAGCTGAGACTACAGGCATGCGCCACGATGCCCGGCTAATTTTTTTTTTTTGTATATATATTTTTAGTTGGTCAATTAATTTCTTTCTATTTTTAGTAGAGACGGGGTCTCGCTCAGGATGGTTTCGAACTCCCAACCTCGAGCAATCCGCCCGCCTCGGCCTCCCAGAGTGCTAGGATTACAGGCGTGAGCCACCGTGCCCGGCCTTCTAGGCTCTATTTTTAAGTGAATCTAAAGCAAGGTGCAAAGACTACAAGAAAGAAAGTGAAATAAAAATATACATTATATTTGCATATTTTTGCAAAAACAGACACAGAAAAGATAAACTAGAATTTAGTAAAAGTGGTGACCTATAAGGCTTGGGTAAGAATAGGATAGAGGGCAGGAATAAGAGAAAGAATTGTCTGAGAATAACTTTGTATATAATTGGAATTTTTGCACCATATATATTTTAGTATTACAAATAATATTACATACAAAAAAGTCAAAAATAACCTACTCTAGGATTGAATAAAAATGTAAACAAATGAATTTAGCTGTATGTCAACCTGAGAACCCTAACCACTAATGAGAAAAGAATAAATTCAAATAACTTAGAGCCTTGCTAAGTAGGTTTGCTATTGACAATGGTATGGCTGTTGTAATTCTGTGATTTTTAAATCACTTTGTAAATATTGTGGAAGAGATCAAATAACCAAACATATTAATACTGTGAAGACCCGGGGCTTCACTATGGGAGAAGGGAGACGCACATATGGAACAGGGGGAGGAACAGCCAAGGCGTTGGATTAGAAGTAGGCGCATCAGAAGGGCATGCATTCATTACTTGCCACCATCAGTATCAAGAAGCAAAGACATCCCAGCGGTAGTGAGCTCAGGTATCGCTACACCTTGGTTTCTAAGTACCATTCTCCCCTAAAAGGAACCAGGGCTCTTTGGAGAAATGACAGATGCCAAATAGGAAAGTCACAATCCATGCCTAGATGTCTAATTCCAGAAATCAGGGAGTGCTCACGAACTGGTGGGACCACGCACAGTGGTGTAGGAGCTGTCCCCCATGGACAAATTGTCCACCAGAAAGAATAACCCTGTGCTGCAACAAGGTCGCCTACATGGTGTTCTTCCCCACAAATGTTAACTAACAGGAAGCCAGCATGCAAATCCAGAGTGTCAGATGTTCTACAAGACAACTAGCCTAGAGTCTGTTCAGCGTCATGAAAACCAAACACACACAAGGGTGGATGAAGAACTGTTCTAAAATAAAAGAAAGAAATATTAATAACCAAAAATAGAATGATTAAAATTTTAAAAAATAACAATAACCAAACGCATTGGAAGAATTTTAATGTTTCCTGGGTCAAAAACCAAAACCACTACAAAAGCCATGTTGGGATACTTGTGGAAATTCAAGCTGGACAGTAGAGTGGAGAAGACTGTTGAATTCGCGTTTCTGTTCTTAGGCGTGAACACGGTGCTGCGGTCACCTTGGAACGCCCTTGTTCTCAGGGCTGAGCTGGCAGTGCTGTGCCTCCATGCTGCTGGAGCTGTGTGGCTTCCTGGTCCCCACCGGCTGGAAGGCCTGGTGACAAGTGAGGGCCACCTACCCCCTCGGAGCCCGGGAGCGCACTGCACTTTCACGTCCTGCTTACTCGGGGAGGACCGGGGTCGTTTCTCTGGCCCAGCTCCTGTGGGTGGTCACTATGGAAGAAGGTTCCATTTCCCCTGAGCTATGCCCCTCAAATCCCTAACGTCTACGGAAGAAGAGTTCCCTTCTTTCCTAAGACGTGGAGGGTGTCTCTGAGCCCTCCTGGGCAAGCACAACTGCCTTCTGAACTGAGAGGTTCCTTCACAGACCGGTGGGCCGCGCCGTCCTCCTGTCCAAACCGAGCGTCACTCCTTTACGTCCTGGGCGGGAGCCGCATGGGGAGGGCCAGGATGGGGCATATCTGAATTCACGGATGTCTTGGGTTTGAATCTCCCCTGAAAGGCTCAGCGAGTGAGGAAGGAGAAACTCGCAGGGAGTTGGGAGGGGGCTAGGGTCTTCATTAACTCATTCTGTGACCTGGGACAGAGCGTGTGGTTTCCTGGGGCCTCGGCGCCCCGATGGTGACCTGGGGTCAGTGAACTCAGTGGCTCTCAGCAAGCGCTGAGTGTCTGAGTCACTCGTGGAACACTGGAACAAAACAGAAGTCCCGAACACCCAGCGCAGGCCTGGCTCCCGCCCCTGGGAGCTCTTACGCAGCAGGTGTGGGGCGGGGCCTGGGCCTGGGGGGCTACTTCTTAAGAAGTGCACAGATTGTTCAGACACCCGTGTCTGCTGGAGACCCGCGGGACAGAGTGACGTCTGGTTGGGCAGTGCTCTTTCCAGAGGAGGGGCAGGTAAGTGGCTTCCAAAACATCTCCGAGGTTCAGAAAAACAACCTCCAAGAGGATGACTCAACGCCCGAGCCCTGCAACTCTTCCCGAGTGGGGCTGAGTCACACGCGCTCCGTGCCTCCCAGATGCGGGCGCCCGTGCCAGCTGGGTGAGGGGAGGGATGTTTGCAGCTCGCTGGCTGGTCCGGTGCCTTCCGCGGGGTCACTGGAACCCGCGAGGGCCAGGGCAGGAAGCGCAGGCAGAGGGATGACAGATGGGCCGGGCTTCCAACCGGGAAGGGCGGGCGGGCTGCTCTCTGGGCTCCCTGGCACCTCAGAGGCGCTGCGCCGGCCACTGGGATTTCACAGCCGTCCTGGGCTCTGCCCGAGTCCCGACCTTCCCAAGAAGCAGCCCAGGCCTGACCTAGCCACGCGCTTTCCGAGTGCTCCACACAAAGCTCATCTGTTCAGAAAGTGAGAGTTTACAGCCCTGGGTGCCACAGGGTGGTTTTCTTAAGATTTCTTAGGACTCTTGTTTCTTTCCAGGTTCCTGTCTTAAACTACTGCAGCCCCAACAGCGAATTGCCTTGGGATGCAAGTATTAAGCACCCAGTAGTCCCCCGCCCGACACCTTGAGCCAACGCCCGGTGCCTTCTCTCTGGGCCGTCCTGTCTGAGGAGCCAGGTGAGGGTCACTGGTGCTCTGTTGGGGTGGACTTGACATTTGAGTGGGGTTCTCTTTGAGCCAGGATGGTCCCCTGGCCATCACTGGCTCCCATGGCCCCGTGGTCTCCTGAGTGACACCACCCAGCCCACCTGGGTCCTCCGGGCACCAGCTTCCACCTCAGTCTGCTTCTGCGCTCAGTCCTCCCAAACGCACCTGCGCCCCTCGTTCGCCTCTGTGAGAAAGGAGGGCAGAACGTTTTATTAAAACACTAACGAGGTATGTGTAGCGGGTTGTATGGTCGCCCCCCCCCCAAAAAAAAATCATGTGTTCACATCCTAGTCCCTGGGACCTATGAATGTTACAGTGCTTGGAAAAGGGGTCTTTGCAGGTATAATTAAGGATCTTCAATGACAAGGGCTATGGCTTACACGTGTCCCCCAAAATGTGTGTGTTGGAAACTCCATCTCCAAGGCAACAAGGTTGGAAGTGGAGCCTAACGGGTGGCGATTAGCCCTGGGGACCAGGGGGCGGGTTAATGCTGCTGTCCTGGGAGTGGGCCCCCGCCCACCTCGCCCACCGGATGCCGGCCCCTCCACCTCGGGCTCTCCAGCCCTCGGAACTGCGAGAAGTACATTTCTTTTCTTTGCAAATTACCCAGTCTGTGGCATTCTGCTTTCGCCGAAGTGAGCACATGAGACAAGCGTCCTTTTAAGGGACACACAGAGGGGAGACAGGGAGAGGCCATGGGACTGCTGCGGAGGGCAGAGGGTGGAGGGAGGTGACCGCACGTCCTGGAGTCTGCAGGGGTGGGAGGGGCAGGCAGGGAGGATTCCCCGCTCTTGTCTCTGTGGGGACCACAGCCCTGCGGTCGCCTGGATTCCAGAATTCTGGCCTTCAAAACGGTGAGACTTTCTGTTGTTTTGAGCCACCCAGTTTGTGGCGATTTGTTATGGCAGCCGTAGGAAACACACTTGCGTACACACACACACACACACACACACACACACACACACACACACGAGGGACTGTGGGCACAGGGGGCTCTTGCAGGAGAGCGGACGGCTCCTTGTGAGAAGCTGACCTGTGGCGGCAGCAGGGACTCCACACCCCGCCCCCTTCCCGCATACCCCCGTCACCCCCATCCCGGCCTTGCGTCTACCTGGTGGCCAGGTCGCTGCCCGGGATGCACCGTTCTCAGTCCTGCGCCCCGACAGACTCGCCGTGCGGGAGGCTGTGAGCTGTCACCCCTAAGTCAGTCCCCCGCCCCCAGGCGGCCAGGCTCCGTGCTCCCTGCCGTTTCGGGCGGTCCTCCTCTGGCCTGCCCTGCCCGGCGACTTCTCCTGTGACAATCGGCTCTGCGGCTGTGTCTGTCTTCCCCTGAGGACCACAGCTGCACCCGGGCCACCCAACTCTGTGCTGCCCCCACTCCTGGTGGCATTTTGTCATGAGCTGCAACCCCCTGTCACACAAGCCCTGGACGGAGGCTTTTTATTCTTTCTCCTTGAAACATGATCTATGAATCCTTTCTGTACTGCTTGGGTTGAAAGATGACTTGAGCCATTTTACATTTTGAGCCATTTGGATTTGGGCCATTTTTTTGAATGATGAGAGTTCTGATGACTTTTTTTCATCCTTTTTGTGTGTGTGTGTGTACGTGTCAACTTTGAGACTACTTATTTTAGGGCGTAGGTGGATGCCAATTTTTCCTTTCTCACATGAAGGTTTTCAGCCCTTAATACTACTAATTATATATCATTAACATTGCTCTGAGAGTAAAAATTCTAAATTTGTTTTGTGCAAATTTTCACAGCGACTCTGAATGTGTCTACAAGAATACAGATATAATTTCTAGAGATGAACTGATAATGCATTTTGTCGCTACTTTATCTTTTAACCTATAGACATTCCCTGAAATGGTATTTTCTTTTAATTTTCTTTTGATAAGACAGCCCCGTGTAAAACAAATGTTTCTAAAGACATATGAAGAGGTGAGCAACACATGACTTCATGAGGGACAGATAACACGTGGCTCTCCTTTTTTTCATCGTCATGGCAGCTCCTACCGTGACCTTCGGTGGAGAGGACTCTGGGGTTTTCATTTCTTCTGCTTCTTTTTAATATTGCATGAAGTCTTCTTTTCACCAGGATAGATCAGTTAGCCTCACCACGCCCCTCCCGTCTGCAGAGCGATGGGGATTCTTTTCATTCCAGCTAGAGATCCATCCTCTGCGGTTCTGCACACATCAAACGCGTCCCCTCCGTCTCCCTGCCATCCATCACGGCGGAATGTTCCAGTTACGGGATCCGACGAGGAGGGTCACATGGGACACCTGTTGGACACTCCACTTTCGTCAAATAATAACCGGAGAGAAAATAATCGAAAGAAGACAGGCGATTCGTTACTAATTACAGAGCAGGGCCTTCTTGGCTTCAGATGTAGAGTTCAAGCTCAGTATACTTGGAAACTTAAGTAGTATTTTTGAAAGGTTCGTGTGTACGAGTCAGACACAATTCACATGTTCTGTCGGATTTCAGAATTGCGAGCTGTCAAGGAGGGGCTTCAGGAGACCAAAAATAATCTTACTTTGCATCATGGATAGCTTCACTCTCAAAATAAAACCTTCTTAGTCATGATGTCATGTGATTGCTAATTAAAGCAATAATACCCCTATCGTGTAATATTCTAAAAACGTTATTATTAAAACCCTAAAGGCGAGGGAACTCGCTGGATGACTCTGGGCTGGCGGCAGGGCCGGGATTGGCTGCTCGCGTTGGCATTTCAGGCAAACAGACACCTGCTGACAGCAGCTCCTCCTCAGGGTGCCTGAGGGAGGGGTGGTTGCTGGAGACAGGTTGATGCACATACCCGGGAAAACATACACTACTCCCCCCTCCCTCAGGCCCATCCCCTTCCTCTGACTCACCCCTACACCGTGCCCGGGACATTTTGCTAATATTAGCATTCCATAATTTGTTTATTCGATTTTTCTCTGCAGCTTTTAGGAAACTCAGAGCTCAAGCGAGTGTTCGTGGGTAGCATTACTATTATTTCACACCAGCTTCCTGGGCTCCATGAAGGTGGCTCTTCTTCTGCTGTGACCTTTACTGCCCTGTTGCAGTTTGGAAGTGCGCATGTGACCCGGGGCTCAGCTAGGGGTCGGCCTTGGTGCTCTGAAGAGGAGGAGTTGGGCGGAGCCAGATGGGAAGAAGAGCTTGGGCAGGCCGGGCTGGTGGAGAGGGGTCTAGATGGGGAGAGGTCTAGATGGGGAGGGGTCTAGATGGGGAGAAGTCTAGATGGGGAGGGGTCTAGATGGGGAGGGGTCTAGATGGGGAGGGGTCTAGATGGGGAGGGGTCTAGATGGGGAGGGGTCTAGATGGGAGGGTTCTAGATGGGGAGAGGTCCTAGATGGGGAAGGGGTCTAGGATGGGGAGGGATCTAGATGGGAGGGGTCCTAGATGGGGAGTTCCTAGATGGGGAGGGTCCCTAGAATGGGAGGAGTGCTAGAACATGGAGGGGGGTCTAGATGGGGAGGGGTCTAGATGGGAAGGGGATCTAGATGGAGGAAGAGGGTTAGATTGGAGAAAAGAGGATCTAGATGAAAGGAGGGGTCTAGGTGGGAGGGGTTAAGATGGGGAGGGGTCTAGAAGCAGAGAGGGCTTCTGCAGTGAGCGGGCAGCACGCCTCCCTCACGAACCTCCGGTCCTTCCCCGAGTCCTCCCCACTGCCACCGCACCCCCTCACCATGACGAATGGGGACAACCGCCGTCCTCCCTGCAGAGGGCCGGGCTGCCTTGCCGATGAACCCTGGCTGGGCTCGACTGGGGCTGAAACCTGAAATAATGTGCGGTTTTATTACCAGATTCTTGAAAGGTTTTATATGTATTCATAACGGGAGATAAGGTGAGTCAAATAACCCCTTGCCTATAATTCTTCCTAAGCATCTGTTTTCAAAATATTGTTTTACCCAGAGGGTGCTGCCTTCAAACCGTTGAAGCAACTTCTAAAGGGGCCAGGGTGTCAAACTTGCGTTTAATACATGAATTGTAGCTTAACCCTGCGAACAAAAATTCACTCCTTTGCAGTCCTTTGCTTCATGTCTGTGTTTCTGAAACAGCTTTCCCCGAGTGTGGTCCAGAGCTAATTGCTTTAGAATCATCTAGAAATCTGCAAGCTCATACCTACTCAATTAGAAACCTTTAGGATAGAAACGTGGGTTTAACAGACTCCACAAGGATACTTAGGCAGAATAAAGTTTGATACCCACTGGGATTGGCAAACATTTTCTTCAAAGTGCCAGATAGTGAATATTTTAGGTTTCGTGGGCCGTAGGTCTCTGGGACAACTACTGAACTCTGCCAGAGACAATGCATAGATGATGGGCATGGCTCTGCTCCAATAAAACTTTATTTACAGAGATAGATGGTGAGCTGGATTCGGCCCACAGGCTGTAATTTGCTGATTCCTGCACTAGTGAGTTTAGAGGGTGGAGACTGTGTGTTTATTTTGTTTGCCACTGCACGGAATCCAGCAACGTTTGTATCATAAAATAGTCACTCGGTAAGCACCAGTTAAGTGCATAAGTGGACACTGACATTTAAAATTAGCTTTTAATTCACACAAAGTAAAGTTCACTCTTTTTGGTATAGTTTTGGCAAATTAATAGTGTCATGAAGCCACCATTGCAATCAAAAGATGGAGCAGTCCCCACCCCCTCAAATTCCTTCTAGCTGCCCATTTTGGTCACATTGATCTGTTCTGTTCCTTCTAGTTTGGCCTTTACCAGAATGTCCAATAATTGGCATAATACTCAGTGTGTAGCTTTTTAAAGTCTGGCTTCTTTCCTTTAGCACAATGCATTTGAAATTCATCCATGTTGTTCACGTATCAATAGTTTTCTCCTTTTATTGGTGAGTGGTATTTCATTGTAAAGAAACACCACTCTGTTTGTCTATTCCCCAGTTGAGGAGAAACTTGGTTGTTTTCAGTTTGGGCAATTACAAATAAAGTCAACCTTTAGGTGCAGATCTTTCTGTGGACGTGTGCTTTCATTTCTCTCGGGTCAGCATCTAGGAGTGGATTGCTGGGTTGCAGAGTATGTGTGCGTTTAACCTTATTAGACTCGTCGAACATTTTCCTATTTCCAAAGCTGCCCTACTTTGTGCACCTACAAACAATGGACTAGAGGTCCAGTTGGTTTTTATTCATGCTAGCACTTGATGTTTTTAAATTAAAAAAAAAAAACTATGGTATCTCATTCTGGTTTTAATTTCCATCTTCTTAATGAGAAATGGTTTTGAACAGCTTTTCATGTGCATCTTTGCCATTCGTTTATCTTCCTTGGTGAAGAGTCTTTTCAAATTTTGTCCATTCAAAAATATATTTTGGTTGTTGAGTCTTAAGAGTTGTTTATATATTCTTGATACACATTCATTGTCAGTTATGTGATTTGCAAATATTTCTCTTCAGTAGGTGGTTTGTCTTCCCATGTATTACTGCAGAAAAAGGATTTTTAGATTTTGATGATGTCCAATTTATCAATATTTTGAGTGAGTGTTTTTGGTAGTTTGTGCTTTTCAAAGAATTGGTCTATTTCATTTAAGTCATAAAATTTATGAACATAGAGTTTTTCATAGCATTCCCTTATTATCTCTTTAATGTTCATGGGATCAGTAGTAGTTACCCCTTTCATTCTTGATACTTGATAATTTGCATCTTTTCTTTCTTTTTTTTTTTTGATTAGAGATTTATCAATTTTTTTTGTCTTTTCAAAAGGACCAGCATTTGTTTTCTCCATTGTTTTCCTAGTTTACATTTCATTGATTTCTTATCTAATTTTTATTATTTCATTTGTCTGATTAATTTTGTCTTCTTTCTTTAGTTTCCTAACGTGTATTTAATGCTATCAGTTTTCCTCTGAGCACTGCTTTTACTGTATCTCACCTTTTCGGATAAGTTTCAACTTCATTTTCAGTTAGTTCAAGATATTTTTGAACTTCCCTTGAGAGTTCTTTGGCTCTTGGGTTATTAAAGTATATTGTATAACTTCCGAATATTTGAGAATTTTCAAGCTATCCTTCTGTTGTCAATTTAATTTTGTTATGGTCTGAGAATATACTTTGTATGATTTCTATTGTTAAAAAATTTGATGTGTTCTATGCCCCAGAATGTATTCTATATTGGTGACTGTTCCATGTGCACTTGAAAATAATGCATGTCCTGCTGTTGTTGGGTGTCAGGCCAAGGAGCTTGGCAGTGGTGTTCAAGTCACTTATATCCTTATTGATTTCCTGTCTCCTTTGTCTACCAATTACTAAGAGAAGAGTGTTAATGGCCCCAGCTATAACTGTGGATGTGTCTATTTGTTGGTAGGGGCACTGGCATTATTCAACTAAATTATTATCGTCTCCCCTCCTGGCTTTAGCGCTTCTGTTTGTGCATCTCCTGTGTGTGTGTGTCTGTCCCTGACAGCTCTCCCAGCTGTCACCTACTATTATTGTCACTGGGGCCCAACACCATGGGGGTGGGGTGTGGGGAGGGGAGTGTTCTCTAAGCTGATACATCTCAGGCTTGGCAGGGCACAGAGGGTCTGAGTCTCAGGGATGTGGCCTTCACCGCTGTTTCTCTTCCTCCTCCTCCGGTGGCCCTACCTCCTCCCCCAGCTCCTAATACTGCCCTTGGCTGCAGCATTCCCAGTCTGTGTCTTTGAAACTCTCTCCCGCAGACTGAAGCTTTCTTTCCTTTTTCTTTTTCTTCCTTAGGTGAGCTGGGGTGCCTGGAGTCAGGCTGCGGCAGGGTGGAGTCCCTTTCACTGGCGAGGTGGGATATCGGAGCAGTTCTCTGGCAACGTCCTTCCCGAGATGAAGCCTTCTGCTCTGCAGGGAAGAAGTCCTTGGCTGGATTACAGAATGGTGACTTCTTTTTTCCTTCTGTCAGGGCCATGGAAAGATGCGTATTCCCTCTGGATTCCCCCAGATCCTCTTAGAGACAGCCTGCTGGGATTCCTGGAGAGAAGCCTGCAAAAGTGTGGGGCCCCTCCACACTTCCCCTGGTCCCACACTTGGAGTCCAGCGGTTCATCAGAATTCCTACTCGAGTGTTCCTACAGCCTTAGCCAGGGCTTTCTGCCGCAGGTGGACCAATCTCAGGCCATCTGTCTCCCTGGAGACACCAGCTTCTTCAGACTTCAGGGTGGTGGCTTGTCTTGAGACCTCAGTTTTCTGATGGGCCCCAGAAAAGTTGCTGACTTTCAGTCCCTCCACCTTATTCTTACTGTGAGGCTGGGAGTGGTGACATCCATGTCTAAGCTGAGACCGGAAGTCCAGTAAGGCCACACCGGAGTTTCCTTCTTAGCTTTCCAGTTGCGAGGCTCACAGAGAGGGGAAGGCCATGAACAGAACAGTCAGCGCAGGTCAGAACACGTCTGGCTCTGATCAGACCACCAGGGTTCAGTAGCGGCACCTCCGCAGTCCCCGGACAGACTGAGTTGTCACCTGCCATGGGTAGGGTGGTGGAGTCTCTCCCCAAGGGAGTGGGGAGCAGCCACAGGACACCCACATCAGCAGACACAGCTTGGGGGAAATGCAGACCTGTCCTTCAAGTGCCAGGTGTCCTTCTCAGCCGAACTGGCTCCAGCTGGGCCATCCCAGTGACCGTGTGTGGAGGGTCACCCAACACTGTTTGGGTGTTGGACACTGTGCTGTGTCCTCTTCATGGACGGGGCAGGTGT